TAAAGGTGGTGTTGTTGGTTTTAGCATAGCACTTGACAAAGTTCTACTTGAACGGCGTCCATCAAGCTCCGGAAGATTGACATTGCTGGCAATATGTTGCCCTGGATCGCCGATTTCATGCATCGTCTTACTATGAGGGAAAGGTCAATGAAGTTCCCTGTAGGCCTGCTCTCATTACCAGTGGGTTGCACCGAGCTCTGTCCTTGGACCCGGATTATTTTAAATCTTCATCATCGACGGTCTAGAATTGCTTCAGAAGGAGTGCTTGACTTACGCTGATGAGCACAACTTATGTTCATACGTATCTAGGTTTGAAGGTTCGGACAACTTACGACTTTTGCTCGATTTGATTCACGATTGGTTTGTGAAGGGGCTGTTACACATCAACAATGACAACTGCTTTGCTCTTGCAATTGGTTCTACGGAACCTTACGGCCTATATCACCTTGGTGGCCATCTGTTGAGCCACACGGCTTCTGAGAAGGAATTGGGCGTGATTGTAGCCCCTAAATTAAAAACCATACAGGATAAGTTGTGGAAGGTCGCCTCTGCCAACAGGGCACTCTGCACCATACGGATGTCATTCTATAGAACTGGGCCTGTGTTCCTCAAGCTTATGTGTCCTTTCGAAATCCACCGAACACCGAAAAATGTACTACCCGCTTTAAACCCGCTCAGAACGTTTGTGTGCGCTTTAATAAATATAAAAGTACATAAATTTTTATTCTCTTGAAATGCGAGACACACCTTTGTAAGCCTGATCTTGATGGTTAAGGCGTGGTTCTAAGTAGGTAGCAATGCTGCATGGTTTGTTTTATCCCATTCGACTTCAGCGTGTGAACTAGTAGGCCTTGGACTGTTGTTGTTCCCGTGATCATCTGATATGCACAAGCAGCTTCCTGACAACAGCCTTGGGGACGGAGGTGCAACAGTTCTTTCAACTCAAGGTAGATAACCAAGCACAGGGTCACAGTTAGAAACCATTTAAACCGCGGTAGATCCCTGTTCAATCCAACGACACATTATCCACCCGGATCGTGCACCAGTCGAACAACTCGGAAAATGTCGTTAGTGTCTAGTCGGTGAAATGTTTCAACTAGCGGTTGCATAACTACATGCTGAGGAAGCCAGGCTCCCACTGTTTTTGTTGCAGCTGTGCTGATCTCTTGGTGAACACAGGTTAGCATGTACAAGTACCATCCATACAGTGAACAGAATATGAAGGAGCTTACACAGGTCCTATCCTTTCCGCTCTCTACAACATGATAACACTATAAAGTTATGAAAAATTATCACTTTGTAGCGCAGCACCTGCACATTTAATAGAGGTGGAGCCACGTTCGTAGGTTGTAGATTTCAAAGCTTTGTTAGGTCGCCAAGCAAGTCAGGAGTTATAATTGACACGTAAAATTAACGCAATCTAGAGCATTCGGAGCTGCAATGCGGGCACGCTGGATGACCTCCAGTGATTTAAGTTCTGCGTCAACAAGAGGCTTCCACCTGGTTTCCTCGGTGTCACCATCTGGAAGTTGAACGGGTTGGGGAAGTCCCTGCCGATACAACAAATTCGTGCCCCCGACTATTTGGTGTAGTCACCTAAACCCAGGAGGAACACAAACCGTTAATGCGCTTTACATTCATACACTCGGATAGTAATGTCAATATTCAGCAGCCTCCAAATGGCATATTGACTGAAGTTAAAGGAAGTCAGCAAAAGCCTCAAAAGCAGGCGGGCAACTGGTGAGCAAGGATTCTGTGGAGTGTATTTTAAGGTGGTCAGCCCGAAGTCAAATTCTACCCCACCAGAACCAAACCTTTTATTGTACGACCCAGGGCTGTTCGTGCCGAGTACTTTCAGGCAGTGCTTAGCAATGCGCGTAGCCTAAGGAACAAGATACACGAGCCAAGTTTCATCCCGACATACTTGCTTTTACTGAAACGTAGTTGTCTCCCGATATCACAGACGGTGAAGTATGTATACCTGGCTACGCACAGCTTAGGTGTGATCGCTCCGTTGTCCGCCGAGGTGGGGCGCCGATCTTCATGTGAGTTGTAACCTTGATGTGTTGTGGACGCCTGTTTTCCAGTCGCCGGTACAAACGGTTGCAGCCCTGTCGACTATCGTGTATACTCCCTCTTTTCAGTTTACAATTTTAGTGGTATATCAAAGCCCTGGAATTATATCTATGGAGGTTATTGCATTTAGTCGTACCCAGGCTGCCAAATGATGTCCACTACTGAGTGACTTCAACCTCCCTGAAATCTGCCGGGCTGATTTATCTTGCACTTCGGCTGTGGACACTTTCGTTTCGGGTCACCTCGAGCGAAGCTTGCAAATTCTTTGCCTCAGTTCGTAGGCCACCCGACTAGCTATTTAAGCAACCAACTTCCGTATACCTTGGATCTCATTTTTGCGAAGCCTCACGATTTCGTAAGTGATATTACATACGGCTGTCCTCTAGGCGCCAGTGACCATGTCTGCATAACCTTCTGATGTGCTCTAACTAGGTACCATCAAGCTACCACTGAGGAGTGTCCAGACGTTTGGCGGGCAGACTTTAACACAATGCACGATAAAGCTTCGTTTCTGCGTTGCGCGAGCACCGTGACCGACACCGTTGAGACAGCCCAGTAGAATTTTATGGCATAGCTCACCGCGATCTCTGCTCCCCACATCCCACTCATTAAAAGAGGGTGATATGGGCGCAACCTCCTTGGACAGGTCATACAGGTAAATACCTGCTCAGGAAACGCTCTAACTGCTGGCGAACATACCAAGCGGCGTCATCAAGCAGCACTTACGAAAGCTATCGAGCGGTTAAAAATAACTGCAAGCAACATCGTAGGACTCTTCATCTTCAGTACGAGGAGGATTTGGCTAGCGCAGCCGTAACACATCCAAAGACGTTCTTTGCTTACGTATAGAGACGCGGCGGTACAGGCTCGTCTATACCTAGTTTACTACGAGTGGACAGGACCCATGGGCGTACCGACTATAATAAGGCTAGTGTACTTAGTGGAAAATGTACTAGCGTATTTTCTAGTCAACTTTCTCTACGCAGGTTGAGCTGGTCACAGAACTCACGGAGGATGCTTTCCTAACATACAGCAGCATAACGCAGACACACGACTTCGAGATATTAGAAGGGCTAAATGCCTCTAACGCTTCTGGTCCTGATTCAATCCATCAAAGCTGATGCATGAGTTGGCCGCCAAGCCAAGTGGTTTTCTGACGCACGTGTTTATAATATGACGCGAGAGCTAAGCATTACCTTCGGAGTGGAAAGAAACAATCAACTGTCAAATTTTTAATGTCGTTGACAGAGCTCTGCCCGTGAACTATCACCCTGCAAGCTTGACAAGCGTAGTAGTTACGTTGTTAGAAATATTGGTCAGGGCTTCGGTGGAGAACCCACTGATTAAGTTTAACATGCCCAGCGCGACACAGCACGAATACGTAAGGGGTTCTCGTGTCTGACAAATTTACTCGTAGCTCGTGAAAGGTGGGCTGATGCAGTAGACAACGGTCACGCTATCGACGTACATTTCGTTGACTTCTCGAAAGCCTTTGATACTGTCTCACATCGACGACTGTCATTAAAATTTGCAGTCGTATGGGATACCTGGAGCCGCCATTAAATAAGTGGTTGCTTTCCTAGAGGGGAGAGAACAGTGTGTACGAGTGGGGCTTAGTCTTTCTCTGAAGCAAGCATTTCTTAGTGGCATTCCGCAGGGCTCGATTCTAGGGAGGTAAGCATTCCCAATTTATGTCAAGGACCTACCCACGAGCTTGAAGCACCGTCGCCATTGTTTGCTGTTGACTTCAAGTTCTGGAATATTGTGAATATCCCTGGTGGCGCTGAGGCAATGCAGAGTGCCTGGGATAGGCTGTGTGGTTAGTCAACCTTATGTCTGATGTCTATAGATCATGCGAAATATTCTGCCGTGCGCATTGGAGATGCTAGTCCCCCAAGCGCTATGTATTGGGTGGAAGTAAAATTCCATTTGTCACACAGCAGGTTTAGCTAGGTGTCGTCCACCCCTCAGTACTTCACTCTGGGGCCAATTAGAGGAAGGCTGCTTGCAGTGGGTTCCGTAGAATGTGGTTTATTCGCCGCGTCCTCGGTGTCCTAATGACCAATGGTTTGTGAAGCGGTTCTCAGCTATCCTGCGACCACACTTAGAGTGCTCTATTCAGGCTTGTCCACCTTGTCTTGTAAGTGACCAAATGGAAATGGAGCGGGTTTTGCGAGTGGGTATAAGGTTGGTGCTGGGCTTACGGAGGTAAAACGTATTCCGAACCTTTGCTTAACTTGGGTATGTACTTAATGCACTACCACAGAAATAGAGGAGAATTGATTCTCACTTACCGTATCCTAACGGGTAAGATCGGTCCAGACTTGTCCTGGCTATTCAGCCCCGCCAATTTGCCTAGTCTCCTAGGTCACCCGTTGAAGCTGCACAAGCTGCGTTTTGACGGGTGAGGACGGAAGCTCACTTGTCGCGCCAAGTTATTAAATGTTGGTGCTCGCTTCCGCAGCACGTCGTTAGGGTGTCTACGTCTGAGGTTTTCCAGCGTCAGTTAAATGCTCATGGGTGTCAGTACCAAACCTTCCTCTTCTCATAATCGACTTGTATTTTCAACTTTCTGTTCGATTTTTAATTTAACCTTACACCCCGGTGTTAGCCTTATATAGCTGACTTCCTCCTTTTGTTTTCTTACCCTACTCTTTATTCTCCTAGTTCACATAAACTGGCCTGGCAGTGACTGCTTGGCAGAAAAATGGGTTAAGTAGTTGGTTGGACAGGGTGTAATGCGGTCTCTGTTTTAGGCGTTTCCACACTACAAGCAGAATTAGCGATTCCCGTTCCAACGATACGCAAAAGAAGGGACATGCACGGGATTATCCTACTGATCCGCTTCCAACTGAAATTGAACTTGCGCCCACCAGGCTTGTTGTGTTCTCACGGAGCGAATATTTAGTAACGTTAAGAAAAGAATGCAAGGTTTCTGAAGAAGATGCGTTGTTTTTATGGTGATACAAAAGAACAACAGGCAATTCGTGCGCGTTGTTTCGCGTTAAATTTAAACTCACCATGGGCAACATACTAAACACAAATTCATATTGTTACCTGAAGTCGGACTGGACTGTATGGTTGCACAAGCGCAGAGGCAATTAAATTTGGGCTGCATTGTGTACTGAAGTACAGCAGTAAGATGCATCCACGCTATTTTTGCAATAAAAACTTTATATGGTATTTTAAACGTAAAATCATTTTTATTGACGACTCATGAAAATTTTGAATAAAAAGTAGTCCACATACGTGTGCTCGTAAACATCTATGCTGCTTCGTTTTTATGGAATCCAGTATTTAACGACGCACGAAAGGATTAGAATGCTATGTAGCGAAAATACCCCGCTGCTAAGTCAAAATTGGACTGCAGAACTTCCGCCTGACGAGTATTTTTTCGAATATTTGCTCTGTGAGTACTACACGGTAACTCGATTTTCGGCGTACCATACTGATCGAGGTTTTTAGCTGCGTATGGTGGAAAACCGTGTTTGAATCAAGACTTGTAACAAAATTTGACTATTGTCAAATTTCTTCTGACCCAAGATATCTTGGATCGAATAAAGCGGTTCTAGTCAATGTGTCTTTGGCCCTTGCTGGTAATTTTTCCGGTCTTTCCCAGGACACCGCTGTAGACATAGCCAACACTAGAACTCGCTTCTCCAACCCTGACTCTGAATGTCCTTCCACGTAAGAATTCAGGGAGTCATAGTAATAGTTGAGGATGCAATCCAAACCATGTCAGCTTCGCAAGTAAAAATCGATGATTCACTGAGTCAAAGGCTTTACTGAAGTCCAAATGGCACACCTCTACCGACATCCCACTATCAAGACATCGGGTAATCTCGTCTATAAAGCACAATAAATTGGTAAGATAAGACTTCTTTTTAAGAAAGCCATGCTGTTCCGCTCTAATTAGGTTGTGCACAGTCAGGTGCTCACAGATCCTGCTCCTTATAAGCTTTTCCAAGCACTTCAGCATGATGCTGGTCAAACTAACAGGTCTATAGTTAATAAGCACCGACTTAGAACCCCCTTATGAATGGCAACAATAGTCGCCTTCCAATCACGTGGCAGCTTGCCTTCTTGAGGAGACTAGTTGAATAACTCCGCTACAGTATACTGAAGGATATCAGCCACAGGCTTAATTATGGCGAGATGCACACTATCAGGACCAGCTGGTTTATAATGGTTCAAACTGGCCAGCACTGTGAAGACCTCTGGCACATTGAGAATAATTTCCCGCATTGTGTAGCTAGTTGAGCAGTGCGGCTGTGATGGCAAGTCTGACCCACTATCCTTCCGATGCAGGTTTTGGTAGACACATAGCATCATCATCCTCATACACGTTAGCTAGAGGCGGGGAACACCTCAGCTACTGTGCCGCAATACACAGAAAAAAGGAGAAAAAAGGCAACTGGTGTAAGCCGGCTGAGCTACCGGTAACGGATGGGCATCGTTCTGGAAAACTACCAACCGGCTACTGTGCATCAAAAAATACTATGCGAAATTATATAAAGCTAAATAATGCGATCGTGGTTGGAGGGGGAGGCTAAGAGGGATGGGGTGGGACAAAGAAACTCACAGCACGAACGCCACTGAGGTCGGCTCCTAGCCATATCAGCAAGTGTGTCCAGCCAAACGTGTTCATCGTCTTTCGGACCCCAACCAGGGAGCCGAGACGCTCCAACCGAGGCCAGCTCAGAAGTGAGGGCTTTCATTCCTCTCGACCAAGTCATCGCTTGACCACCCCTCCTCTTCTTCCTTCCACACCCCCGGCGCGCAAACAACGCACGTCGCGGAAGTCGGTGGGCAGGCATGCGTAATACGTGGCCGAGCCATCGGAGCCTGGTGCGTGGAATGACGGTGTTTAGCGGTTAATTTCCTTTTCCTGTGCCGTAAACAAGGCGTCGAACACGCTCGTTGCTCACTCGGTGTTCCCACCAGATGTGAGCTAAATTACGAAGGCACCGGTGGTCAAACATAACTAGCCTCTTCAGGTCCGCTGCTTTAAGCGGCCAGGTTTCACAACCGTATAGTAGGGTCGAAGGTACCGCTGCATTGTACACTCTACCCTTCAGGGCAAGAGTGATGTCGCGCCGGCGCCATAGGTGGCGAAGGTTAGCAAAAGCGCCCCGAGCTTTCGCTATACGAATCATGATCTCATCTTCAATCCCACGGGTGCTGATACAACTTCCCAGGTAGTTGAATTTTTGAACGACTTCTAGCTGATCCCCACCAACGCTCAGCGTAGACGGCCCAGACCAATCTTGAAGGAACGCTTTTCACTTTGAGGGTGCGAAGCAAAGGCCGAAGTGACGGACAGCTAGTGCTAATCTGTCCAGTGCCGCTTGACACGTTTGTGAGTTGTCACAGATTAGGGCAATATCATCAGCATACTCTAAGTCAAGAATTCGTTCTTCTGGGAGCAAATCCACACCTTCAAAGTCGTGTCCTGTGAACGCGATTTCCATGACTTCGTCAACAGCGAAGTTGAAGAGGAAAGGTGACAGCGGGCATTTTGTCTCACTCCACTGGAGATATTAAAGGTCGACGACAACTTGCCGTAAGCCCTCACTCTGCCCGAGCTACGCGCATATAATGCTCGGATAATATTCACATATTTCCCAGGTACACCTTTCCTGAGTAGACAGTCCCAAAGTGCATGTCTATCCACCGAATCGAATGCACCTTTGATATCGAGGAGCACGACAACGGTGGGCCGCTAATATATGTGACGGTGCTCTAACAACTGACGCAAGGTGAAGATGTGGTCAATGCAGCCACGACCTCGACGAAATCCAGCTTGCTCTTCACGCGTCTGGCTTTAACGGGTGCCAGTCAGTCTGTGAAGGATGACAGAGGCAAGCAATTTGGAGACGATGGAGATCAGACTGATTCCTCTATGGCTGCCGCATTCCGATCGTGAGCCTCCCTTGAAATTTGGGACTATGATGGAGCGGCTCCAATCGGTTGGGACAGTTTCCTGCTCCCACAGTTTGACCAGTAACTCGTGCAAACTATCCACAAGAGCAGGTCCCCTGAATTTGAAAATGGCTGGAGGAAGATCATCAGGCCCGGCGGCATTATGTAACTTCAACAGTCCGATCTCAAGTTCGACTTCTGAGCCAGAGGGTGGATCCAAAGGGACAGCCCAGGGAGCGGGGCGATCAGTGGCCGGCGAGAAATCTAACCATTCCGACCGATTAAATTACCTTTTAAAGTGCTCAGCCCAACGCTCTAAGCGTTTTGTTAAGTTGTGGATAGGCTGTCCACTCTCGCCACAAATTGTTTCACTAACACCAGGTCTTACACGTAGCTGCGCTTCTACTTTATCAACATCGTCTACAGCCTGGTTACCATCCTCCATGGTTAGGCAGCCGACCACCTCACTTAGAGAAGCCTTTGCTTGGACATAATTGTAATAACACTTGGGAGTTGTTTTCGCAAATTTGGCCAACCTAAGCTCATACGAGTACTTCGCCTGCCGCTGCAACTTAATAGCCATGTTTCGACACCTTTTGTATTGCAGCCAACCTCGGAAGCCCCGAGTTTCTTGATATTTTATCCACTCAGCATCGCGCCTCTTTATAGCTCTATCAATTTTTCTCCTCCACCATCGGGGTTTCCCAAGATGTCTCCTGGGGCGTAGAGGAGCAGATTCACTCAGCAACTGTACGAGTCCACTTTTGAGTAGAAGCCACCTCTGTTCCAAAGTGGCCTTGTCCTGTTCAGGGATCCAAGTGATCTGAAAGGCTCGATCCCGCAGCTTCGTAAAATCAATACGATTTAAATCCCTTCCCATTCGACGGTTCTCTGCAAGACTCGGTGTGTCCAGAGAAAATGTCAAAACACAATGATCACTCTTACCTGTGGGTGGCTCCACGCATAGGTCAATCAAGTGACCATGTCTGGCGATCACGATATCAAGGGTTGAAGGGGTACTCCCAATATGACTTCTAGTCGGAACATTGACGTATTTCTCAAACGCATTTACATGCACCCAATCTACTAGTTCCTTCTCTAGAGTACCCACCCTGTTTTCAGCAAGCTGCCGATCAGCATGGGGAAGGTTTAGGGCATCGACGATCAAAAAATCAGGTGCGGCCATTGCCGCCTGTCTTAGATCTCTGTCCTCTTCTCGCGTAGAGGATGGGCTGCGATAAACACCTACTATAATCTCCAATCTATCCCATGCTCTTAAATAGCAGGATATCACCTGAACGTTAGCAGACCTCATGGTAAATGGAGTCTCCCAATGTTTATATTGGCACTTTATAAGCAAGGGTACTCCTCCACCAGCCTGATACCCGGGCCTGTCAGCTCTGTAGCACGCGAAGTCTATAAGCAGCTCACCAATAAGGTCATCTGGAGAAAGCCAGAACTAAGACACAACGGCCACATCAACATGCTCAAAACGCGTCACTAACTCCCCCCATTTGTTGCGCATACTTCAGCAATTAGTGTACCACACGCTTAGTCTCTCCGGACGCGGTTGTTTCCCCTCGGACGTAGAGCCCGAGGGGATAACCCGTTTTTTGTACCATTTCATTTCCATCGGCTTCCTGAGTCGATGAATCAACGCTGGGCTGCTGTAACGCATTACGGGATAATCCCTTTCCTGGCTTCGCCCGCCTGGGCTTGCTGGATAAACTCCCGACCTGAGTCGACCTAACAGCACTGCACTTCGGATTTTCTGTACGGTCCAGTTTACGTGTGGCAAGTATTTCATTTTTCCTATTATTTTGTGAAATAGGCATACCATCCATGGACTTTGGTGCCACTACTATCGAGCATGAGGCCTCGGTAGTTTTTGAACGCACCGCCCGAAGTTCCATCGACACATCTTCACTATCCTCTTCCGCCATAGAGTTATTATTCACATTTCCATCAAGAGCAAGTTTCTCCACAACCAAATGCAAGCCACGAGTTATCTCACTGGCATCTTGTGAAGGGGTTGTCCAGACCAGCTGACTGCCCTTGCCACAGAAGAGCAGTCACTAGAGTTTTGTTTAGGTGTCTGCGTAACGTGAGGCTCGCTATCGTGAATTCCAGCGTGTGAGACCGCAGATTCATTAGGCAAGTCGGTATAATAATAATATAATAATAATAATGTGTCAGCTGTACGCCGTAACGGCGCTTCGCTGCCGCGCAACCACCACCAGTCGCGCGCGGGCTGAGTATACCGCGAGGACGCCCACCCCAACCATTTGTCTGACTTGCAACCAACCCAGCCCTGTTAAGTAGAAGCTTCCCGTGTATACGGTTCCGAAACTCAACCAGGATAGGCCTTGCATAACCTTGTTAACGGAACATACTTGTTTCTCTCCAGCTGCCAACACGATATACTCTTTTGATACCAACGTATAACGGTATTCCGACTATACGAAGGATATCGTGCACTCGTCTTCTATCTAGGTCCCGTC